TTTCAGTCCTTAAGTAGCTTCACGCTCGGCGGTGCGCGTTGAACGCGAACCGAGAATCGAGCTGAAGAAGAAAGAAAAAAGAAATTCCCTCGTCGTGCACATTGCCGGTGAGAAACGTGGCGCGGGTAGAAAAAAGCGGCCGGTTGAAACGCGCACGAAAAGACTTCATCAGCTCTCTTAATGCGGGAGAGCTGCGCGGCACTGCGTACATCAGGGCACGCGTGGGGTCGCGCGCGACCAGCCAGCGGGAGATCGTAATTTGCGACGTAACGCCGCAAAAGACGAGAAGTGCGCGCGTTCACGAACATCGATGACTGCCCTACTTGTTATTCGCCTAACTGTAAGTTGTTATTATATTAAGAATGTGTCGCGTTACAACGCGTGTTCACTTCAGCTTCTAATCACCGTACGTGTCACCTTATAATTTCAAACCAACGACTACGTCGTGTAAACTTACTCGAACGTTTAGACGAGAAAACGAAAGAAAAGAGAATAATAACGAGAAAACGGGCGAAATATTCCAGTCGGAGCGCGAGAAGAGATTTCAACGGCGGTGACTTCAACGCCGGCGCAAGCGGGATCGCTCCGTCTTATTTTTCCGACTTAAGCCAGCAATTAAACGGAGTCGGTGCTCATGCCCGCGATGGAAGGGAGGAAGAGTAGCGCATGTCACGGCCGCGTTTGCATCTTTTCGAGCATCGAAATTGAAGAATTTACGACGTTCGGCCGGGCGAGTATTTGCCTTTACATCGCGCCTCCCTTAGCCCCGTTGCCTTAACGGCATCCTCGTATCTGCGGCCGGTCTCTCCCTCGCGTTCGAATTTCGTGGTCCCACGTCTCGATGCTCTCTCGTCTCGTTTCGTCCATCCGTCCGCTCGTCCGCGCGGATTCAATGTCCATGCAAAGTAAACGGCGGCCTCGGGAACGGCTGTCAATTATCCGTTATATACGGCCCTGGCCCTCGAACCCATTCTTAACGACCCCTTAAAGCTGACCACGAACAGCCTCCTCCCCACGCCCCTCTCTGCATCGCGCCCGAAATGGGGAGGCCCTCACCGACAACAACGACGACGACGACGACGACGACGACGACGATCACGAGGGACACGAGCGAGAGCCGAGAATCGAGAACCAACCACCGAACGGACGAACGGACACACGACACGAGAAGGACGAAATTGAAGAGGAGGAAGACCGGCTGCGAAACCGGGGCTAAGGTGGAAGGCGGTTTCCGGGAATCGTTTGGTATTCCAACGCTACCGCCACTCGCGGCACCTTCCTTCTCCAAACTGCGGACAGATTCCTCTGTGGCCTCGTCCGAGAGGCCGATACACAGAGGACGATCGGTTCTATAGCCGCGCCGCGAAGTGTGTCAGAATTGCAAATGGACGGGCGCGCGGCAGAGCCGACGAAACACACAGGGGACTCCAGAACAGAGACGAAAGGATGAACGGACAGACGGACGGACGGACGGACGGACGGGCGAGAAGAGGGCGCGAATTCCACCGTGTAATTCTCTAAGATGGATTCGAGCCGAAAATCGAGGAATCTCTGCCGTCTCGTTTCTAAGTGGAGGAGTCGAGCTTTCGGGAAAAGGTTGACGCGTTCCACCAGTGGGAAACATTCTCCCCGATTTTACGAGGGAATTCGTCCCTTTGTCTCGTCGTGAGCAACTGTCTTTCTTGTTTCTTTTCTTCCTTTTTTTTTTTTTTCAGCGCGTGTTTGTTTCACGACGGAGACGAGGCCCTCTGCGAGAATGAAATTTTCTGAACAGGCTAGTGCCTGGTGTCTTTACGGCCGCGATTTGAAATTCATAGCGAAGTTAACGCGGCAAACAACGATCGGCCAGCGCGAAGTTAACGAATCTTTTAACGAGACGACGTCGCTCGCGGTACGCAACGGTCGGGTTAACAAGTGCGAGGCATCGTTTTCTTGCTCGTAAACGCCAACGCCTCGTAATTATAACAATACGTTCCGTTTGAACGTAACGAGCCAATCAAAGAGAGGTCGGAAAGGCCAACCCCTCGTCGCACCGACACTTTCTGTTCGCTCGTTACGTAGATGCACGGCGGTTGATCGCAAATCAATCAACTTCTCTCGCGTCGTGGACCTTATTCCCGAACGAGCTAATTGACCGCGGCGCGACAAGAATCGTGCTCTAAGCCGACTTCATTCCGATTTGTTAACGTAATGATCGCAACGAAATACATACTGTGTTCACTCACCGGAGTTCACACTGCTCACGGCCCCTGTCAACCGTCCGCTGAAACTCGTACAATTTGGTTAGCTGTCTCGTTTAGCTGTCCCGTTTCTGCCCAACTTTCTAGTCGACTCGATTGTGAGAACGACTCACACGATCGCCCAACAGTGTGAATTTCCTCGAACACGCAAACTGGATGCAGACACTCTCTCGAAAATATAGAAACACGATGAATTTTGTAACTCGTCCAACAAAACCAACGCGCGTCTCGCGGTCTATTGCAAAAGGAGATGTTCTGCTGTTTTTTTTTTTTTTTTTTTTTTTTTTTTACTAGGTTGTACACGGTGTCGAGTGAAAATTAAATTAGACCCGTTGTCCGTGGAATTTCGATAGCGATATTTTCAGGCTTCCTCGCCGAAAAGGACGAGCAATTCCTTCCCGAACGCTGGAATTTTTCAGACACACCTTCTTCAGGCGTACGCTCAGGTGTACGGTCCGGGAGTTCGCGTTTTTCGTACGTGGCGTGATTGAAAACGCCTGAAGCGTGGAAGAAGCGGCGATCCGTCGAAGGTGCATCGCCGGTGCGCGGATAATGGCTTATTAAGAAAGCATCGGCGAGAGGCGAGCGAGGAAGTGACAGAGCGGGTCTCGTCGGATCGAGTGGAAGAACGAGGAGTGAGCGACGAAGAGGGAAATGGAATCCCTGATGCCAGGAGTCCAAGTCACGGGTTTTGTCGACGCCTTTCGAGAGAAGGGTCCTCTGACACAACGGGGCTTTAATTACGCCGATATCACGGTAATTAAGCCGATCAATGCGTGCCATTGTGCAGCGACCACGGGGCCCCGTCCACGCCGAGGCCCATCCATAATCACGGCCATGGACCCCCTTCGTTCGACACAAAAGCACTCCGTCCCACGGGACACCGGGGTGTTCCGAACCTCCCGTGTATTACTTCTTTTTGCGGGGAAACCGTGTGAAAGGAGGCACAAAAATCGACGCGACCCGACACCCGATACAATTCGTTTAATTGAAACACGCGCACAATATAATTCTCGCGAAGGCTTACCTCCGGCTCGTCCACGGACAATGTTTCTTGTCGAACTCTGCTCGACAACTTGTCGAGAGAGAGTACAAAGACGCGACATGGTCGCCTCGGTGAAATTCCTCGACGCTACGCATTTAACGACAGTTGCGTGAAAGCTGCGCGAAGTAGAACGAAAGACTATGAGACAGAAATTACCGTCACGATACCTATCCTAGTACGTATGACTCAAGTTCTCCGTTCTCCGCTCATTTTCGCAACAATTATGTTGCGTACGGCGATACGGAAGGCGAACTCGAATTGTGACGACTGGACAACCACCGATTTCTCGTCGTGAAAGCTGGCATCCCTTCGAGAAGAGAGAAATCGTGTGTGAAATTCATCGCTCGAGGCGGCCACGGCCTCCGTGGCACACGGTCGTTCGTCGGAGTAATCGCGGCTTGTGTAAGCATCGATACCAGAAAATCGTTCGAAGATCGCTCCTCCCTAAAGCGTGCTCGCTGGGAGGTATCGACGCGACCACATTCATTTCGTTAATCGAATGGGAGTTTTGCGTTGCAATCACCCGCATGATATTTCCCCGTAATACGCGCGAGCTCGCTCATTTCGTCGACTAGGATCCTCGTGGCTTTCAGTTATCGACGGATTCCAAGGAGCGTTTCAATCTTTCGATCATGCTATAAGTTTCATTACGAACTCGAAGGTACGTTGGCAGGCATGCTAGTCTGCACGATATGATCAAGTTGTAAAGCACGAAGGAACGACGAGCTGCGAGTTTGTTGCGAGTCACTTTGTAATAAAGATATCGAGTCAGTAATAAGGAGATGTAAGGTGCCCGCATTGACACTTGGAAAAAATTCTTCACAGTCGGAAACAGAATTGTAGATAGCTTCGATGAAAAATTGCGACAATTAAAAAAAAAATAACGCAGGGCCTCGGAAGACAGTAGAGGTGCGTTTAATATAACAGGCCAGTAACCAATCAAACGCCACATTGTTACACCATGGATGCTACTACACTGCCGTTCAACCGCTTAACGAAGTATACCCAAGTATATATTCGAAACTTATCATCGAAGAAATCGATAAAAAGAAGAGGCATTAGATCTCCAAGTGATTACGGTCGATCGATAGACTGTTGAACGATGAGAATACTTTCGAAGGTGCAACATCACCGTCCCCTTTGTGCGCTGTCCCAATTATGAGAAATGCTCCCAAGGACGCGACTGATCGATCCCAAGTTATTCGGTCGATGATGAACGCACGAACGCTTTGTCACTGTTTACCGAGGTTTATCCTACGCGTATAACTTCCCGGCACGAACGATGCGACGCGACGAAAGAAGAGGGATTTGTTTGCGACCGCCCGCGCCGTTTCCACTGTTTGTCGTACGAGTTAGGACAGCCTGACCGTGTTCTTCACAAAGTGCCGCTCTCTCTTTCTCTCTTTTTCTCGGCTCGGAAAGAACCAACCGAACGGCACACTTTTTAGTCACTATTTGCGCCGGCGATTCGAGAAACACGAGCGGAAACGAGGATCATCAGTCCTTTCCCCGCGATCATTCCTCGCCTCTGCCTTTCTGGACAGATGCGAGACAACTCCCCAAAAATGGGAGGGCGTAATGTTAGCCGGAACTGAACCTGGGAAAAACAATCGTTCTTTATTGTCTTTGGCATCCTTCATTCGGCCAAATCCTCTGACCAAATAGCCTTTTTTCAAACGTTTCAAACGAAAATCCATTATTCGATGGGATTGCAGGTGACGGTCGTCAGCACGAGCACGCCAAGCACCAACACGGTTCATCCTAGCGTAAACGACATGGACTGGTTCGCCGGTGTGGCCGAGGAGGAACTGCTGTACTACACGGGCGTTGGCAACGATGTCGATTCTCTTTGGGCTGTGATCGGGAGCTTCGTGCCACCGCCGCCTAGGCCACCTTATTTACCTGAGGAGGCTGTTACCACCGACGGACTCACCACCTGTGATTTGTGTTCCTGGGCGTGGAGAAACGACAGGCATTCCTTCTCTCTCGACGGCACTCTCGGTAAGTGCCAACCGTTCTTTTCGCCGTTTTCTCATTTTCTCCCGACGATACTGACACCCCAGGCATTCGCTCGTCGACGATCACTCCAACACGCGACGAGTGGTTCGTTCGATCGAATTGTGGGCTTAGGTTAGGTTAGGCTGTAATTAAGATCCCTTTGTCTCCGTATTTTCTCCCAAGACGACGTATCCAGTGTCCCGTCCGGAATACGTTCCCCTTGTCAGCACTTCAACCGGACCTCTCTCGAAAAGAGTTAGGAGGGTGCTGCCGGTGGTAGTAACATCGAGGATCGCGTGTTATTCTTTCTGTACATACTCCACGGTATTTGTGGCGTATTTGCCGAGCAAACAGCTTTTCTGAAGGATGCTTCGAGCCAAGTTTCTATCGAAAGCCAAGGTCTTCTCTAAAGTATCCCTTGCATTCAGTGACTACGTGGTACACTTTTTTTCGATGCTCGTTCTTTTCGATGCAGTGTCGCGCGAGACTGCGCGGATTTTTGCGATCGTTTATCACACGATGTACACTGACCGAAAAAATGACGATTATTATCGGGCGCTGCTTCGTTGCGAGGTCGTCGCGCGTTGCTCGTTTTTCACATACCGCGAGAAAGGGAGAAGCGATTTTATTACATCGCGGCACGTTGCAAACGGAGCAGCTATTAGGGAGCAAACCAAGCGAGCCAGCCTGTTAAGATTTAATGTCGGATAATAGAACGTTAGGACGCGCGTATCCTCAAAGCAAATATATGAAATGTAATGAAACACATGCGTCCACCATCACTGGTTCAACCATAAATAAAACGAACGATCGATCCACTTGTTCTCGATGAGAAATGAGAGATAAAAAAGTTCGTGTATGACTTTCAACGTACGTGTAACGTTGCAACGTGTAGGACATTATCGTCTTTCGTACCTCGGAGGTATTCGCGATGTCATAATCAACTAAAATGCAAAATCGATTAAAATGCAAAAGAAAAAAGAGAAGACAGAGAGAAAGAAACGAACACGCAAGGTGTACGTCTTTTAGCGTACACGGGATCCTCGGGGTGAAAGGTCGACGGTTGGGTGCACCATGGGAGGCCCGGCGCGCGCGTTCGTGTCTGTAAAACTTTGCTCCGCCGCTCTCTCGCACTCTCTCTCTCTCTCTCTCTTTCTCTCTCTCTCTCTCTCTCTCTCTCTCCGTGTCCCTCATTCGACTCGCGCTAATTCTCGTGACGGACAAATTAAGACGGATAATTCAAGAGCTCGCTCTCGCTTTAGCCCGACCTCCACATCCGGCTGAGGCGTTTCGACCAATCGGGGACTCGACACGACCACTCCTATATGGCTCTCCCTTTAGCGATCGTACTTATTATCCGATTTTCTCTCTTTGTCTCTTTGTCGCGTTCGTGATCGTGCATCGAAAAGCTACAAAGAGACGAGAAGAGACGTAGCAGAGAAAAACGAAATTTTCAAGAATCAGAAATGCAAACGTCCGAATTTGAATTTTTGAGTTCGACGCTAATTAAACGAAATTGGGTGTCGGAGTGTAAGATGGCTCGCTTCGAGTAAACAACGTAACGAGAGGCAAAACGAGATCTCATGGATATCGGAGATACGCTCGAACACCAGAAACGGAAACGATACCGATCGAAATACGGTTTCTTCGGACGGAGGCCGTGCTGTGTATTCGGAGTCGGAGGAATTCGTCCAATCAGAAAGCCAGGTCTACCCTGAAGGATCTCGGTTCGCACGTACGCGAGGCAAAGTACGGGTACACATGCATACGTGAGTCCGTTTGTATCGTGGCAGGGTGCCCCACCTCTGTTCGAGGCCCTGTTCGGCGCAACCGCCCTTCTCCTTGTTTCAGCCCCTGCGGGCCCCATCGTTCCAGGCACGCATTATCGCCATTACCATGAATTCCAGCAGTTATTACGCCTCTGTTGCACCGCCACGAAAATGGCGGCCCCGGTGCATCCTACCGTGCAACGAGGACGTGCTCCGTTCGGCCCCATCCTCTTTTCGCTCGGGCGCCTGCGCTCCCGATCCCGGCGAACGCTGCTCGACAATTAGCGTGGAGAACGCTCGCTCCATTTTCTCGCAATTCGTCGCATTTCGTCACTTCGTTTGAAAAAAAAAACGGAAGATTTTATCCTTCCCCCACCTGGAACGCTCGTAAATACAGCGAAAAGTCGCGCGAGGACGATCGAGCGTAGCGTGGAAATTGAAAGCCGCGCGCCACAGCGAAGAGACGAGCGCGACCTCCGCGCGCCCCGCGAGTGATCGATGGCAGGTAATAAGCCGTGCGGACCGTTTTAATGCCGTTGTTAAAGCGATAAATCACCGAAAGACCGAGAGTTTCGTTAGAGCGATTTCATTCGCGGCCGATCCGCGGTTAGGCGCCGTTACCTTGCGCCGAAACCGACGCAATTATCCAGCGAAAAACGTCAAGATAAATAGGGAGGAGGGAACGAGAGAGCGAGAGGATAAAGAGAGAGGAGGTCTCGAGATGGGGGGGCCTGTTTAAGGCAGGCTCGCGATGGGGTAATCATCGCGTCACTTCGCATCTTCCGCGACGTAATAATTACAAGATCTCGCCTCCGACTCGAGAGTCCAGAGAGTGGTGCGAGCGCGCGAACTGGCGTGAAACGGCGCGGTGTGAAGGAGGAGACGGAAAGCGAACGGACGGACGGGCGAACGAAACGCGAACGAAGGGACAGGGAGAACTTAATTCGAGCTTTCGAGTTTTTTTTCTCGACCGGCACTCGTGTGGACGAGCGATTCCTCGTCACTTTAGGGCCACTTGTACGTAACTTTGCTCGACGTTCGTTGCCAAGCGTCTTATCGAGCTTTGCTGCCGGCCAGCGAATGTCGTCCACTCGTGCTTTCGAGAGTCGAGCGTTCCTCTTTCTGACCTTCTTCGAAGACGTACGAAACGAGTGTTTCTTGAAATTAGACGCGAGATGCACGCACGACGTATATATTCCGACGTATTAATGCCTTTGCTTGATCAAACATACGCAAATCACCACGTCGAGAGTCGACAGGAGCGATCGGGATGCATCGCGAGCGTACGCGGCACGCGTATGTATGTGTGCAAGAACGACCGATGAGAAAGAACCAGCCGGAGGCGACGCGTTCCCATCAGCGATCGCCTCGTTCGATTTTAACCGATCGTCCATCGACAGCGTACCGTTCGAGCGAAATGAGGGTGCGCCCAACAGAGTGCCGACAACAGCAAAGGAACACGCTAACTCGAACGGTTGAAACGGTCCTGGCAGGAAGTACGAAATCGCCGCGTGAAGCTCTACTTTAAACGAAACGGATCGCAGTGGCTCGCCTGATCGCGAGCTAATCACGCGATGCCGCACGCGAATGATCGCCAGACCGCCAATTAGAACGCAAAGCCGCGCGTTGATTGTAATAGCACACGTCAAACAGCCTCCTCGAGCGTGCGGAATCGCGAGATAACTTCATCCCTTTCGCAGCGAGCGGCATTTATCGACGCAACGACGCGCCGTGCTGTGCCGTGATCTGGTTCAATCGGCCTCTCTTTTTCACGTTAGGTTACCCCTGCGTTTCGCGAAAGCACGGCTCGTCCTCGCCTGAGTCATCCTTTTAATTCGCGTTACGCGCCCCCGGCCACGTATATTCGCATTGAGCCGATGTTATCTCGCGCCGCGCGTACACCGAACCCGGGACTTCTTCTCTTCTCTTTGCGAGTCCTTCTCCTCTCACTGTGTTGTTTGTTGTGCTTCTTTCCTTTTCTGCGAACGCTGCCTCTAGGTAATCAACAGCTCTCAATTTTGGAAAAGGGAGGAAAAATAATTGGAACATAGAAAAGTGAGAATGCTTTCTCGAAAAGTTGACAGTACGAGAGAGTCACAGTCATTGTTGAATTTCTTGAGTTTGGCACAAGCATTATCAGTTATTATTATTACCGCGCGACATCTTTCTCTATCGCGATTCATCCATTCGCCACGTTGCAACTGATCATCTTGCTTCATTGTATCAAGTTTTCTTTCGTCATGACAGTCTCCTGTTGTCTTAATATCACTGTGACGTCGTGATCACATTGAGCAGGTTGAATAGTTCACACGTTTCCCTTTTCATCAAGTTCGCCAACATTTCCTGTTTTGTTGTTGTTGCCCTTGAGGGCCTTACTTGGATATCTTAATCCATAACTTGATTCTTTCACGTCAATAAAGAGGAAATAGGAATTGTTAATCTCGAGAACTTCCATTTATGAGATCTAATACATTTGACTGTTTATTTATTGATCCACGAAGATCTTTAGTAGAAGTTGACACTTCCATTACAGATCCTATAGTCACTGTTACGCCATAGTTGAATTAGATCTCGGACTTTTCTAGTTATCAAACTTTTTTCTTTCCCGAGTCTCTCCTTGAAAAAGATCAAGGAATTTCTTGCCAAAAAGTAAAAAAAAATACTCCAGCTCGTTTCTTGTCTCGTTTATCGCGAGCATGTGACAATCCCTGTACAACGAGTTCACTTTCACGTAAAGGGACGGCGACGATAAATTTCGCTCGAAAAGAGAAGCTGGAGCATCCCGTTTAATTGAGCCCGGGCATCTAATCGAGGAATCCATTGGTCATCGGCGTCGTTTTCTGTACCACCGTGGCCCACGATGTCGCATGTTTCGGTTTCACCAGAAAAAAGAAAACGAGGAACAAGCTGGTTCGCGCCCGTAAAGTGCGAGCTCCAGAAAGGATGCAAACGAGAGCAAGAGACTCGGGCCCCTTTCGTGCGACCGAAAATTTTTCGACGGCCCCTCCCGGTGCCCGGCACTTTTATATGCTCTCTCTTTCTCTCTCTCTCTCTCTCTTTCGCTCTCGAGCCGCGTACTTTTAATCTTAGAGGCAATCTCGCCCACGTAGATTTATTGGCAGCGGTTCTTTGCGCGCTGCAGGGCTACCGTGCACTTGTGTGCGCGCCTCCTTTGATTGCGTGCACCCCGATTCGTTACGTATGCTCGCATTTATCGGCCGCTTACGGTTAATC